CTGCCGGCAGCTGCCTTGCCAGAGCCAAGGCTGACTCAATCAGTGTGAGCCTGCAGAACAAAGCCAAGTTGGCCCCTTAATTGTTCTCAGCATTCTGGAGTGTCAGGCAAGTTTCCCTCCACTGAGTCACCATTTAAAAAATTTGCCTTCGTGGATGGGAACCTGCCATTTTGTAAAAGTTCGAGCTGAGGCTTGTCTGAACCCTTGGAACAATGGAGTATCACATTTTGTAACCATTACTTCTGAAACGGCTTGAAAAAGTCCTTTCTATAAATTGTGTTCTCCGCAGCTGCTGCAAAATTCAATATTGTTTGTTTACTTATTTAAACTTCATTTTGGGGTCAATCAAATCATATTATAAAGGATTTTAGGTTTTGTGCAAAAAAAAAAAACATCGAGATAACTGAACACATTAACACGTAAATAACAAATACATGTTTATGCATTGGCTTCTAGTTCAAGCAATCTGGTTGGCATTTTCTCAAGGGAATTATTTAAATTTTAAATGGAACAACATCTCATTTAGATTTCTACAAATATGCTAGGGCACAGAAGTAATTTATATGTACATGAGACTCTTCACTTAAGCACCTGGGTACTTGACAATAATTAAAATACAAAGTAGACTTATTAACTTTTCCTTTTAACTTTCCACCTTTTTGCTTCTTCACGGAGAGTGAGAGAAAAATTTCTAGAATAGATTGTCAAACACCTAGGGGTCCCTTTTCCTACACTCACATAATGCCTAATTGCAATTCCCTTCTGAATCTCTTTCTGTTGCCTCCTTCAAAAGTTATGCTATGATCTTTTATATACTCAGTTTCCGTTTTCAGAATATAATTTTGTTTTGTGTTTGTTTGGTGGTGTTAAGGGATAAAACCTAGGGACTTGTGCATGCGAGGCAGCTGCTCATCAAGAGTGCCTATTTTGAAATAAAAGCGCTGTCAAGCCTGGCTTGGTGTCACATGCTTGTCATCCCAGCCATTCCAGAGGCTGAGGCAGGAGGATCTCAAGTTTGAGGCCAGCCTAGGCAACTTAGTGAGACCCTGTCCCAAAATAAAATAAAAGGGCCAGGGATATAACTCAATGCTAAACCTCTCCTGGGTTCAATCCCCAGTGTAGGGGGGAAAAAAAGTGCTATTGAAAATCTAATACCAAATTTTCTCCAACAAGCCAGTAGATACCATTGATACAGTCATTTATATTTTATTGCTGTTAAAATAATATTCATCATATGCTGATTTAGTCTTTCACAGAGCTCTTCAAGAAGAGTTTTATTTTATTTTGAACCAAAACACAATGTTCCTGTTTGTTCTTTGAGACTTCTAAACAGTCAACATCCCAGCACCTCCTCCTGAGTCTCCTTCCTCATTCTCAAGCTCATTGGCTTGTTCCTAGCACTTTGAAGTCGATCTCATCTGAAATGCCTTTCTTCTCCTTCCTACCATTCTGTCTTCTCCTCCTAGTGAAAAATCCAGCTCACATTTTTTGAATCAATATTTATTTTTGCTCTAGGATCATGGAATTGAAATTACTCTAATTTATGTTTTCTTTCCCAACAATATTTCAACTGGACACAATGTATATACTTATCAGCTCTTTTCTTTATCCTATTAATGTTCCTCTGCTATATAATGCATAAGCTAAGTCCTAGAATGTTGTCAACTCACTTAGAAGTAGAGGAAATGAGACACTGAGATTCAAGTATCCAAATTTGCAGTTATTGTTAACTCTGGCTTAGTTTTATGGTAGGGAGATATGAAAACTACTGTCTCATAGAATTTGGATATTCAGAAACAGGCACCATGCCAAATGTTTTTTTGACTCCATGTACTTTCCATTTACAGCTCTGTCCTGTTTTGTGATTTTTGTCTTTCAGAACACAATTTGTTGCTGAAGAAATTTGAAACAGTGAAATAAGTGTGTGCCTGTGTGGGTGTACACCAAATCTAAAGGAAATTCCATTAAAGCTATAAACTGAAAAAAAATTATCCCAACTTTGTTATTTCCATGGCTCCCTGAAATAAAATCCATTCTGTTTGTTCTTAATATCTTTTTATGATTTAGTGATATCCTGTAGAGTACTTTATTTTAATTTCAAAAAGGCAGTGAATAGCAGATGTGGTAGAAGGCCCTGAGAAGGAGAAATGGGTTAGAAAGAACCAGTAAAACTAAAAAATATACTGTTAGACTTCCCAAGCAAAGTCAGCTCTAACAGAGGGATCTGGAAGCATCAATGGGAATCTGTTTCAGAGACACTGACACTGGGGACAAAGGAATTTCACTTTTTTGTTTCTTATGGTTAATTTAACTTTCTTAAAGCAGCATTTTTATTTCATCAACTATTTAAAATTGTATTTGGAATGTAAAAAGAAAAACTTTCGACAAATTAAATTTAGGAAAGAAAGATTTATGAATTGGGCAGCTCTCAGAACCAGGAGAGGTTTTCTAGAGCTCCACCCAGCTATGTGGGCAGGCAATACTTAGAGACAGAAAAAAGGACATGAAATACAGAAACAACTTGATTGGCTACAGTTGGCATTGCCTTATTTGGGAATGGCATGAGGTGGCCTTTGCCTTAAATAGACATAGTCTCATCAGTCCTCAACCTGTGATTGGCTGAAACTGAGGTGCTGTGATTGGCTGAGCCTCTGCTACCTGTTACAACAAGATATTCCCTGTCAGGTTGCAGTTGTATCTATACTAAGTTAGAGTGCAGTTTGATAGAGAAGCAGCTGTAGGCCAAATTTAATTAAATTTAACAAGTGTTCTATCATCAAATCTTCAGATTCTCATTAAATCTATAGTTGCTCACAGTTCCTCAACTAAGAATCCAAAATCTAAAAAGGTGTGAAAAATGCTTTTATAACCCTTCAGTGGCAGAATATTACCTGATCTAAATTAATTTAATGACAAAACTAAATTGATATCAAATTGTTTTACAGTTTTGATTTATCCCCCCTGTGGATATTTGTATGTTTTGGTGTTCACAGAATGTTTCTGAATACAGAGTAAAGCTCCAGACCTTTGGAGCATGTAATATAATATACGAAAACTGTTATCTATATACAATTCATTTTTTTCTGAAATTATAATAATATCTGGCCCTAAAGATTTAGTATTAGTAATTGTGGATCTGAACTCATTTTCCCCTCTGTTTTTATCAGGAAGAAATTCTAAATTATGTACTCTCTTGCAAATGTTTCTTTGATACCTTGAATTAAAGGTGTTAATTTATGAATGTCTCTACTATGAAGGAAACAATGAAATTAGGTTTTAGCAAAGAAGAACTCTGGATACAAATCACACAAAAGGACTGCAAATACTTTAAAACATGATGACAAATTGTGACAAATTGTGTACATTTTATTCCTTAACTACCATATGGGTACTGTGCATGAATATATATAGAAAAAAAATGTATATATACACATATGTACCTGTAAGGTACACACAGGTATACACTTCATAAATTTAACAGCAACTTTGGAAAACAGAGTTAGCGTTGTTAAATGTGTGTGTTATCATGTCTACTCTCACAACAGATCATAATAGTATCTTAAAAAAGGACGTTTATTGTTGTAGATGTAAATGCATGTGTGTATGTACACACACACACACACACACACACACTCACACACATGCACACAATTAGTACTTTTCAATATTTTATCCAGTGAATGGTTAGAATAAAATTAGTGTTGGTTCCCAAGGCACTTAGGAGGTATCAGCTTCCTAAGAGGATAGGTTTGGGGTTATTACTATTTAACAGAACAATTCAAATGGAATCTGAGCTTATATAAATTGCTCTGTATGTGTTAGAAACAGAGCAAGAAAGGCAAATGCCCTTTACAGTTCTCTGGGCTCTAACTCATGGGGAGTTCTACCTGCCCTCCTCAGGGAAAAAGGGTGGTTTATTGCTGTTACAAATAGGACAAGGCATAGGATTTTGACTGTCAATCATCATTTCTTGAGGGCCTAACTGTCAAAATCTGAAGCAGACAATGGGAGCTGTTACAAATTTATCGGGGGGCAGAAGTTTTTCTTTGTAAGAACTTGCAATATAAGCAGAGAACAGCACAACCACATTTTGAAGGAATTGTCTAAAGTATACTAACAAAAGAGCATCAATATTGTTATTAATATGCATTATGAATGTCAAAATTTAATAACATACCCAGATGAAAAATATGCCCTGGGCTTGTAAAAGATACTGTTTGCTTTTACCAGATTCATGCTTTTATGTATAAGGGTAAGTATTCAAGCTGTGTTCTTTAGGGAAGTTAGAATGGTGTTGGGATGGGAAAAGAATGACAGAACACAGGCAAATTCCTATCCAAGGTCAATGGTATTCAAAAGACAAGGAATAAACAATGGTAAGGGAAGGATTGGTTCTGAAGCCTTGGGGTACATAGAGCTCCAATCCTGCATCCTGACAGTTTTGGAAATCATTTATCTAACTATACAACGAACATTACTTTAGAACATGGAAATCCTTCTGTTTCCTAACAGAAGGCCAGAGGTTTTGTTGTTGTTGTTTTGGCTTTTTTTTTTTTTTTGCCACAATGTGAAAGGAAACAGTGATTCCTTTCTCCAGAAGTATGTGTCCCTTGCAAATGAAAGTACCAGGCTTTCTCATAAATGGCAGCAGCAACCTTTGGGGACAATCTCAAAGACCTCCTAACTGAAAAACCCATGTTTCCAGTTTAAATATGAGGCAGTAATTGCTCATGCAGCCAGGGACAATTCCACGTCACTGCCTATTTGTGGCACTGTTTAAAAACAATCCACTCATCCTTCAAATTTGACCAAACTACAAATGGTATGAGAACTCAGTTGTCTAATAAGGATGTTCATTTTGGCACTCAGCGGCTTACGCATGGCTCACAGATGGCTTCTGTCTCATTTTGTGTAATCCAATCATCCTGCACTACTGCGTCTCACACTTAGTCTCCAGGAGTAATTGAAAAGCTCACGGTGACAATTGTCTCTTCTTCCAGATGTCATCAGTATAAGGAGCCCTGCTCTCATCACCTCCTTGATGTAGGTTGTGCGCATGGCTCTCCGCGTCAGGGTTGCTCCAAGCAAGGTAAAGAGACGTTCCTTCATTGCATTGCTTTTCCTGCTGCCTAGCCCTTGTGTAAATGAGTATGTTCTATAAATGGCCTCTCTGTCAGTAGGCAACTTGTTTCGCTTTTGGCTGGGTACCATGCAGAAAACATTCTGCTGTACTGCTTGCATCTTGTGGTAATGGTGGCAATACAGAGGCGCCTGTGCCCAAGAAAGGATTCTAAAACATTTAAACAGTAGCTGTTTAAAAGCATCATTTTACACAGAAGCAATCTCTCTAGTGTTAACACCTGTACTTCCACTACCATGTTCCAAATTCTTGACAGTTTGTCCTCAATCTTTTTTTTTTTCCTTTTCTTTTTTTTTTTTTTTTGCAGGGGGTAGCTTTTATTTTTGTAGCTTCTAAAGGATGTGCAAGATTGTAAAGGCAAAGCATTAAAACATTTTAAGCTGTAGGGTTGTTAGTTTCTTTTCCCCCTGAAGCTAGTGTTAATAGTTTTTATTTCAGTATAAAAATACCCCTTTAAAAAAATCAAAGAACCTAAAACAAGGAAATATGCATAGCTTCAAAGCAGCTGTGTAAATTCACATAGACTTCAGGCCTATAAAGGAGCAGGCTTAAGGGAATGACACTGGAAAATCAGATTTTTACTTAAAAATTAATTTATGATTACAAGTGAGTGCTACATTCATTTTAGTAAAATATCAACACCATGTGTATTTCCTTGAGCTTTTTCTGCTCAATGCCATCATCACCACATACATCATCAGTGAGAAATGTTGAATATGGCAACAGCTAAGAAAAATTTTCTAGGTCAGTGAAAACACTATTTCAAGGAAAACATTTTCTAAGAAACTTGTTTTTTAAAAGGATTTAAAAACTGTACATAATTTATACATAATTTTGTGATGCAACTAGCAATAATAACTTGCTGAAGAGATAAAAAAATTAAAAGATAATATCCTGTGTCTTAAGTAGCTTACTCAAAGAACAGGGACTCTATATTTAGTCTCGGTTTACACACATGCACACACACACACACACACACACACAAATATGTACATATTCCTTGCAGGAGAAATATGTGCATGGTTGGTGCATATCTTGACAGTTTTAAAATCCCAGAGCATGTGCAGTAGAGGTGAGTTAGTGACAGTCTGAATTCTCATGGCACATCCTGTGGGTTATGAGTTAACTTTTCTTCAATCTTTGCTTATTGTCAGTATTATCAGCACAGGAATTACTTATACGCTCCTAAATTAATATTAATAGCAAAAGTGACCTTCATCTGAAGATAATTCCAAGGTTCCACAAACATATCGAATGCACACAATGTGCCAGGCATTGGGCTAATTAAATTCCCCATCTCTATGCTTTAAATGAGAGAAAAGCTGACACAAGGGAAAGAATTGTGGCCAAAGGCCATTTAATTAATTTGCTGTCTGGGAAAATTGCACCAAAAAAACTGGGAAGCAAGCCCAGGTATGAGGACTAGTAATTTGTTGTTCAGAATACAGTATTTTGATGTTCAAAATGCACTTTTCCTACCTACATTAAAATAATGTAAACTTTCCTCTGTGAAATGAATACATATAAAGATCTCAGAGACACAACCCAGTTTGGAATTTTTTTGGACTGGAGACTTTTGTCCTTGGAAGAGGCCCTTTCCAAGGGAGCTGCTCAATGGAGGCTGGATCCTGAGCTATGGTCCAACAGGAGAGAGAGCCACATCTCACGGTTTCTCTAGGAATTGTTGTAAGAACTTAAAGGAAGGCTTTCGATAGAAAGAAGTGGAAGGGAAAGAATTCTCTGTTGATATAGTACTGAATACAGGGAATTTTACATATGTTCTGAACACAAAACCCCTATGAGGGGCTGGGGCTGTAGCTCAGTGGTAGAGTGCTTGCCTAGCATGCGTGAGGCACTGGGTTTGATCTTCAGCAACACATAAAAATAAATAAATAAAAATAAATGTATTGTGTCCATCTATAACTAAAACAAAACAACAATAACAACAACAAAAAAACTATGAAAACTAACTTATGTTTTACAGATAAATAGAAGAAACACTCAGAAAGTAACTGGCTGATGTCACGTACTTGCTGGGGAGGAACTAGGAGAGTAACTCCAGCATATCCGACTATAGAGTCCACATTTTTTCATTGATAGATTATGGTTCCCATTGGACTAGGCTTTCATTGTGTTTTCCTTCCGTCCTTCATTATTATTCAAAATGTAGTTATTGAATATCTACCAACGGTTAAACAGTTTGGGTGATGAGGAATTAAACATGACTAGCTTCACGTCTCAGAGAGGCTGAAGATATAAGCACCTCCATAAATAAGTGTGTTACTACACAAATGTGGTCAGATCTGTAAGACATACACATAATATGATGGAAGGAAAGATGGAAGGATGGGAGGAATGAGAAGAGGAAAGAAGGAAGGAGGGAAGGAATAAAGGGAGGATGGACAGAGAAAGGGAGGGGGAGGAAAGAAGGAGGGAGGGAGAAAGAGAAAGACATAAAGGAAAAAAGTGACAGATTGACTCTGTCCTGGAGTCAGGGTGCAGTAGGAAGATGGCATATGAGCTAGACCTTGAGAACATATAGCTATCTGTTCTAAGAGTAAGATTTGGGAGCATTCTGCTTCCCAAAATCACATAAGAGCCTCCAGTTTCCATAGGATAAATGGAGAAGGCTATTTATTATAAAAGGAACAGGCTCAGACTTCACAAGAGAATTCCCCTAAACTTTCAAAGTTCAAATTCTTCCAATGCTTCTTAAATTGTTTCTGAGTATAGAAAAAGAATAAAAACATGAAGCTGTTTTAACGAAACAGAAATTAAAGATAACACACAAAAAAAGATGGGCCAGGTGTGTTGGTGCACTCCTGTAGTGTCCCAGCGGCTCTGGAGGTTAAGGCAGGAGTATTCCTAAGCAACTCAGTGAGAACCTGTCTCTAAATAAAATACAAAATAGGGATGGGGATGTGGCTCATTGATTGAATTGAGTGCCCCTGAGTTCCGTCCCCAGTGCCCCCATCCCCCAAAAGATTGATCTCATTTATGAATATAAAGGTGAAAAATTCAAATAACATATAAGCAAAGCAAACAGAATCTAAGATGACATCATATAAATAAAGTATCATGACCAAATTATATTTATTCTAAAAATGTAAGGATGGTTCAGTATTAGGTAATCTACTAGCATAATTAATCATATTTGTAAATTTAAGTAGAAAATCATATGGTCATCTTCATAGATGCTAAAA